ATAGCCAGAACTTTCTCTCTTCCTAGCCACATACTGATCATTAGAGAGGCTTCCTTCATTCAGCTGGCATTTATCGGCATCCTGTGCCAGGCTCTTATGCAGGATCCAGGGTAGAGCAGCAAACACGCCTTCAAAAGCCAGGCCCCTGCCCTTGCAGGATGCCCTCAACAAACAGACAAAGGATCGAGGTAATCAGCCACAGTGATGACCGCTGTGAAGAAAACAGGGCTCTGTGTACAGAGGACGGCCGGAGGCCTGTAGGATACAGGGCACCAGGGGAAGCCTGAGTAGGTGAGAGAGCGAGCCTGGGCCTACAGGTGCCCATAGGAGCGCTGCTGGCACAGTAGGCAAAGCACTCGGCTGCTGACTAACCAGAAGGTTGGCGGTCTGAACCCAGCAGTGGGAAAAAGATGAGGCAGTCTACTTCTGTAAAGGTAATAGCCTTGGAAACCCTCTGGGGCAGTTCTTCTCTGTCCTGTGTGGGTGCTGTGAGCAGGAATTGATTTGGTGGCTGTGGGTGTGGATTGGTTTGGTTTGGGGAGAACCCTATGGGGAAGAGGCTATGGCATTCCTGAAACACATCGACTTCATCAAGCTGGTATTTGAGGAGTTGTGCCCTTGTAGATAAATTATCTGTGTGCGTTGTAGGTCCTACACTGTGGACGTGCTGGGTATAGCATGTGGTACTTTTGCATTAGTGTGAAAACCACAAGCATCCTGGGTGTGGACCTTGGAACAGCCAGCCCTCTCTGCCCACACGTGAGGGTGCTGTCAGCCCGTGGGGACGTGCAGGCACGTTCCTTCCTTCAGACATACTGCCAGCACGTTCACCGTTTGCAGAGGAGGTGACAGCACTGATGCTAGAGGCCTGTCCAGCTCACCACCCTCAGGGTGAGGGACATAGGACAAGAGTGCGTGAGTCCCTCGCAACTCTCCGTTGTTGATGGGTATATACTGTTACGATTGTTGACGGGTGTACTGTTACGGTTGACGGGTGTACTGTTATAGTTGTTGACAGGTATACTGTTATGGTTGTTGACAGGTATACTGTTACGGTTGTTGATGGGTTACTGTTACAGTTGTTGATGGGTTACTGTTACAGTTGTTGACAGGTATACTGTTACAGTTGTTGACAGGTATACTGTTATGGTTGTTGACAGGTATAGTGTTACGATTGTTGACGGGTTACTGTTACGGTTGTTGACGGGTTACTGTTATGGTTGTTGACGGTGTACTGTTACGGTTATTGACGGGTATACTGTTACGGTTGTTGACGGGTATACTGTTACGAAGGTAAATTACATGATGGCTGTGATTTCCTTTTAGATCTAAGCTGGAGCCAGAACCCAGTGCAAAGACAAGAGAGCCCATATCTTCTGAGACTGATTCACAAAACCCTCTGCAAGACTCTGAAGAAAAACCTGTTGCTGACGAGTATCCAGGTATGAGTCAAAATAACCACCTTGCCTGCCATTTCTTCCACAAAACGTGGCAGGAAAAATGCCTGGCAGAAAGAAAAAGGAGCATAGCCCGGACGTCCATGGCCTTTATGTTTGTCCAAAGCAAAGGAGACATACAAGGGGCAGTGTTTTTTCCTCTCACAGTCAGATCTTAATAACTGCAGCTGAGGTGGGGAGAGGACTCTCCTGGCCACTGGGGAACTGGCAGGTCCAGGGACAGGCCTGGTTAGGCAGGCACCGTGGGGGTGGCACAGGTTGGGGCAGCATGTAGTTCTGTTGTGGACTCATCATGAGTCGAACAGCTCAGTGGCACCTGATAACAACGGGAGACAGGGCCTGGTGTAGCCGGGCATCAGAGGTGGGGCCTGGAGCCTCGGAACCAGAAAGAAACACTGGAGCTCTCTGCCCCAGGAGTTGGGAAGGGTCCGGAGCCTTCGGCGGG